TGATTTTTGTTGTTGTGCTCTAGCTCTTGAAATCTATTTCAAATATGTAATAAATAATTATTTATTATAACACGGTTTTACCAGAAAACGAATTCAACGACCTAAAGGGTGTCAGTAAACAACCTTATTTGGACATCAAAACCTATCCATCACATTTGACCAACTGATGATTCTTTTCCTGTTTTCCACTGTGGAACCAAGAACAACTCTACAATGATCAATTCCTCTTCTCTTTAGATTCAACTAAGTTTTCTACATTCATCCAATAGGCCATTTCCGAGTTCCCTTTTGCCTTTGTGTCAAAACGAGTCTAAGTGCAAAAGCATTCACTTCCGCCTGCAGATTCATTAACTCATTTTTATGTGAAAGGTTTCGCACGAAGACTCGTTTTGCAACAGGCAAAAGGAAACATTCATCCATGAGCTGCTCACAGGAGCCTTTGATTTTCTGTGCCCCTTGTCACTGTATTTGTTAGTAGTGGAAGTCGTGTAACTGTATTTGTTAGTAGTGTAAGTCGTTTAGATATTGTAACTTAAATAGTGTAAATAATTAGAGCAATACAATGTAAATAGAGCTAGTGTTGTGAGCATTGTTTTCCCTTGTGTTATTGCAAATAATAAAAAAAAGAAACAACCAATCAGATTGCTTTATTGCTGTTCCATATTTTCGTTATCGCTTATGTCAAAGCTTGCTAATCGTTTTCTTCCAACTTATCCCCTTTTTGCCTCATGTCCATGTGACCAGAGTCACGTGGACACGAGGATATGGAGGGTTTTGCTGTATTCCTGTGTAAGGATTCTTTCCATTCCGATCCTAATGAAGATTCCTCTGTAAGGATACTTCGTATGCCTAATGTAAGATCCCTGTGCAAAGATTTTTCTCATTTCTGATTGTATGCTGTTGTTTAACATCTTATTAACAGCATGAAAGCATATCGTATCGCGCTACTTGGGTTAAACTAAGAAGCAGGTGAAATCACTCCAGACGGATCAAACGGAACTTTTTCGCGCTGACTGCTTTTCGCTTCTTTTGTATCATTTCAATCCGTGAAATGAAGCAAATAACATGTTTCAGATTTCAGATTTCAGATTTTAAGGTTAAAGTTGGCTTTAATTACAGAGCCACGTAAAGATCCCTGAAATGGAATCTGTTTTAGGAAACCCTTTTGATAAAGGGTCGTAAAAGCCGAAGTCCCAAAAAACTAAATGCAACTCTAACATGGGAAAAAAAAAAAAAAATCTAGAGATGGAAATGAGCCGGTTCAAAATTATCATTTAATGCGCACTTTCTGAAAATAAGCAAACAAGTATAAATAATAATAAAAAAAATTGTTGATAAGCGCCGGTCAGATCGGGCCAGATTGTGTCAGATCGAATTGTATTCATAAAAATACCGGAAGTGAAAATGCGCTCCTGTTTACTTTAGCTAGCGTTACACTTGCAGGGGTAACTGTAGAATACCCTGCCACATCGAGCCCTTCACTGAAAATGGGTGACTACGTTGTACGCACAATTTGTTTGTTACATGAATAAATTATATACTTCAGCTTGAATTAATGAGTTTCTGCGTACTACGAAGAACTTAGCTCGAGTGTCATGTCATTCTGCCGTGAAGTCCACTAACATTACACTTGTTTGGTTTGGCAGTGGATTTCCTCGCACTCTAAAACAAGTGACATGGGGCTGTCCAAAGGGCCTTTGATTTTCAGTCGTTTAGTATCAGGCATGAGTAAACGCTAAGGCAGCTCCCAATCAGGATATGCGCGAAAGTGAAGTTTATGTTGCCTTTCGAGGGTTTTTCCAAACATTTATGACATTTGTAGTAAATCGTTTATTAACCAAGTTTGCTTGGTACCATACTAGGAGAATATCGGTCTTTCATTTTTTGCTATGGACCTCATTGCACTCGGTCTGTACTGTCACGATCTTGAGCCGATATTCCTTTAGTATATCTCTCGAGCTTGGCTAATG